CAAGAACCTAATTTTTTCCATTGATTTTACTTTTGAGTTTTAGAGGTTACCTCAAATTGGTTCAAGAGACTAAACGTGATACGTTGAGGTTGACTACACCGGAAGAAGCATCACTCACCGCCGTCTTAGATATTTGTTAATTATGCGATCTCACTATTCTCCATATATCTTTTATTTCTTCTCCTATTCGACACTTTCTTTCCATTTCTGATGTAAAAACCTAATTTTGGCATTTGTGTTGGTCACAAGTTACCAGATACTAACTCTTATTTATTTCTACTAAAATCCTTGGAAATTATATTGGGCCGAAATAATCAATTAACAAGAAGCGCTTTCTATTATTATAAAGTCCGGTAGGATAACATATAACTTAGCTGTCTGTTAGTGTATATTTGACTTGCTATAGTGTCCTTGTGACAAATGTCATTTTATGTTTGTTTAATAGTTTCTTTGTAGGTTTGAATGACATACATCACAATGTTGATCTTTTTCTGGATCTTTCTTTGGGGTATATCTCATGATCAGTTCTCTTTAGATTTAAACCAATCATGCATTATGACGAAGCTTGTTTCCATCCAGTTGTAGGTCCCCATGGTGTGTGTGGATGACAAGTGTACAAGATGATAAAACCACCATCATCAGTTCCAGTTCTACTTTGCAAAACAAAACTCCACTCTGACAGAAACCTAAGTGATGTCAAGGTAGTATGCACTAGACACAAGTCTTTAATTCACATGCTTTGTTATTTGGCACTTTTGCAATAATTAAATCATTGCATAATAATTTAGATAATAAGATAAATCACTTTACTCGTGAAATTGGAGCATTTTCACAAGTCAAGGTTGAGTAACTTACTTAAATTATCCAGTATATTATCTTATCCATATACATGATTATAAGTGATAAGGGAAAGTCATACTCTCCCCCAATGAGTATTTGATGTTTTAACCACTTACGAGACAGGATACAGAATACAAGCTGAAAATGTCAAAAGTACACAAACAATATGAAATAATTTGTTTTGAAGTGCCTAAATATCTCTTCAGGTGATCAACAGGTCTTATGGTACTGAACTTTCTGGAATAGTCGATTTCCAACAGAAAATCCAAAACCCATATCAATGGGGATTTGTTTGTTCCCCATATCTACTATAACTTTGTCTTAGAAGACCCACCAAAATATAATGATGTATATATGTGACCAAAGTAAGGTATCTTTTTGTGGATAAGAAGGCAATAAACTGTGTTTGTCCATAATGTGACACACTCATCTCCTCCTTAACTAGAGTTGTATATTGAGATCCGAATTTGCTGGGTCTTCAGTTCCATATGATAATGATGTTCGAGGGAACTGTAATGTCCCACTTTATATCTGCATAACATTATGACATGTGACCACTCCACCATCATGTTAGTGATGGACCTTCACGTCTCCTCCTTCGTCCCCACATAACCCTGTCTTGTACTAAATCACATGGATGGAGTTTATAAATAATTTGTTGTTTGAATTATTTATGTGGACATTTGCTTTTGAGACATGACATCTTTTAGCCTTAAACCACTTCGTGCGCAAAACTTCAACTCAATGTTTTATCATTTCTTACTGTTAACTGTAGTCAACTACTAGTTTTTGAGTTATAAGATTTTGTCTTATGCAGATGAAAAGTTGCGAAAGAATATAAAGAGAAGAAGCACACTTAACCTATACCCGAAACATATAACATGTTTCTAGTTATTTTTGGAGCTTTAAATACGTATATTTCTCTGGAGTTTGCATGGTAGAGCTAGTAGAATATATTATTAATTTATTTGCATTAGATTTAGTATTTTTTTTAATTTATTTAATTATTTTAATTTCAGGTTATCGTGTAAGTTGTCTTGTTGCCCATGAAGACCTTTTAGCACAAACAGAGTGTTTGCTGTATCAAAATTGCAATAAAGGCGAAACAAATTTGTGTCAGGTCTTATCTTGTCACTGTTTTGAGATAATGCACGGAACTCGTGGGTTTTCTATTTCTAGTTGAATATGGTTAGTGGAGAGTTTCTTTATCGGACTTGTTTTTGTCTAATATTGCATGGTACAATATGTCGTATTGACCATTAGTCTGTCATTGCTCTCCATGAATTAGAGTTCAACGGTGGAGGTTTTTCTCAAATATTACAGTAGAGATATACACTTATTTGTGTTGACAAATTGTACCTTCAATTTACAGGTCTATATTTGTCTAAATACCTGTATGTCTTGGCTTTGTTAGGCACTGTGTTCAGTGTCTTGTGGATCATCTAATCAGTGTATTGGGCGAGCTACTGCCTGCTTCTAAATTCTATGCACGTAGTTTTATATAAGTTTTTTATGGTTAGTCACATGTGTGAAATAGTTGTAAGATAGAATATAATAAAGTGGGTATCACAAATAATTTACAGTGGGTAACAAACAATATTGTTCCTATGATTCAAGTTCGTCTTCATCTGAATGGGAAGAGTGATCACAAAAATCAAGTCCGTCTTCATCATCATCTTATCTTCAAACTCTTGAAATTATTCCCCCTCCTCTTGAGTCCCTTCTACATTTGTATTGGTATAAGACTCCTCAAAGTCTTCATTTGTGATTAGCCGATTAGGCGCATGCCAGAGACGGCTCAACTAGTTTGGGGCTCTAAGCGAACCAAAAAAATTTGAGGGCTTTGATTTTACTATACTTAATGTTATAAAGCTTTCTCTTTTATCTGGGATTGGGATCAACAATAATAAACTAAAAAATTTATAAATGGCGGGGTTAATTTTTTTTAAGGGATAATGTCACTGTAGCACATGAAACTTTTTACATTTGGCTAATTTGGTCCTTAAAGTTTTTTTTTTGGTACATTAGACCAGTAAACTCGTAATTGACCTATTAATTACATCATTTTATCAACTTTTAAACGGTTTCCCGGTTGATATTTTATATATGTCAATTAATATATATTTTTTGTCTAATCCGATGCCACGTGAGATATGCCACGTCAATTAATGATATACGAAGCTTAAAGCCTTTCGTCTTCAGCTATCGAACTTCACTCGTCTTTATTATTCAGCTGTAAAAGAAACCGAGTTAGGGTTTGTGAAACATTCCTGTGATCGAGCTGAAGAAACAAAGAAGTCGCAGCAATGACACAATCGGAACCTAATAGAGTGTTTGCGATGGTGGAACTCAACTACCAAGTGGTATTTAATCGAAATCCTTTCTCTTACACTGGTGGTGTTAAAACCATCTTCAATGATGTCGACTTTTCTTCTATGACTTATTCTGAGTTTGTGACCTTCTGCGAACGTTTCATGCACGAAGAGTGTAAAAAGTTTTACTACTGTGAACCAGGCAATTCCCTGATGGAAGGGCTTAATCCCATTTCAGATGATGTGGAATATGCTGCTTTTATTTTTGATGCTTATGGAACAGATGGTGTAATTTTGGTTTATGTGGATCATACTGGGGTTGGTGTTGATGGGTGGCTTGATGATGAAGATAATGATGATGATGAACATGAGTCTTGTATTGATGGTGAAAATGAAGATAACGTAGATGAACTTAGGAATGTTGCCTTTGAAATTAATGAGGATGTAGTGCATATAAATAGGACATCAAATGATCCTTTCTTGAGTAAGTTATGTGTTGATGATGAGGAGGATAACAACATTGTAGATGATGACAATGGGAGAGAAGTTTAACCTAACATTCAAACTCATTCCATATTTAATGAGCTATTACACTGGAAAAAACAAAAACCTATTCTAGGGATGAGATTTAAGGGTCCAGAGCAAGTAAAATCAATGTTGTGTAACTATGTTGTAGCTAACGGATATCAATTGTGTTTTAAAAAAAATGATAGGAAAAGACTTTTGGTGAGGTGTAGCAAGGGTGCTTGCACATTTAGATTATGGGCTTCTTGGATGAGTGATGAAGAGAGTTTCCAAATGAAGTCACTAAAAGCTGATCATAATTGTGCTAGGAACTTCAAGTTTGGATCATTGGTGACATATGCATGGATTGGGAGTCACTATACCAAAGAGATTGTACAAAGTCAGAAAATAAGTGTAAGGAAGCTTAGGGTAAAGGTAATGGCCAAGTTTGGTATCCAAGTTAGTATGGGGCAATGTAGAAGAGCAAAGAAGTATGCACTGAATCTTGTTGAAGATAGCCTTGTTGAACATTATGGTAAGCTATGGTCATATGGTCATGATATTTTAAGGACAAATCCTGGGTCAACTGTGAAACTAGATGTGGAGGATGGTCCAGATGGAAAGAAATATTTTAGCAAGTTCTATTGTTGTTTTCAAGGAATTAAACAAGGTTGGATTGAAGGGTGTAGAAGGATAATAGGTCTTGATGGATGTTTTCTTAAAGGTGTTTGTAAGGGGGAATTGCTTTGTGCTATTGGGAGGGATGCAAATGACAAGATATATCCTATTGCTTGGGCAGTGGTTAATGTGGAGAACAAGCATAATTGGATGTGGTTTTTAGAGCTTCTCATTGATGATCTAAACTTGAATTTAGGAAATGGTTTCAGTTTAATGTCAGACCAACATAAGGTTAGTATTTTACATAGTAATTCATTTATATTTATTTTATACTATCTGATTTAAACCTTTGTACTAATACATGGTTTGATAGAGGTTGTTAAAGAGTTGATGCCATATGTAGAGCATAGGCAGTGTGCTAGACATATTTGCCATAATGTGCAGAAGAGATTCACTGGTGCCATATATCATACCTTGTTTTGGAGAGCATCTAAAGCCACAACTGAGCATGCTTTTAAAGTTGTGATGAAGGAAATTGAGACATTGAACCCAAATGCCCATCAATATCTCATGGAGAAAGATCCTAAAACATGGTCAAGAGCTTTCTTTCAAGCTGGAAGGTGTTATGATGTAATTGAAAATGGTTTCTCAGAAAGTTTTAATGCTGCAATAGTAGATGCCAGGAAGAAGCCCATAATAACCATGTTAGAGGAGTTAAGATTATACATGATGGACAGAATCTACAACATGAAATTAAAGGGACAACAATGGGGAAATCATATTTGTCCAGAGATAAGGGATAACGTGAATTTGCTTAAAAAAGTTCAAAGGCATTATCAGGTACTACCAAGTGGATTAAACCAGTTTGAGGTAAGGGGAGCTACAGATACATATGAGGTGGACTTAGAAAGGAAAAAATGTTCATGTAGGTTGTGGCAATTGAATGGATATGGATGTGCTCATTCTGTAGCTAGCATATCCTTTCTTAATAGGGATGTAGAAGCCTATGTAGGTAAAATGTTCAACACAACCACATTTAGGAAGGCATACAATTACAGAATTGCCCCCATGAATAGCAGTGACATGTGGCCTGAGAAAAATTATACTCCACCATTGCCTCCTAATAGTAGAAGGATGCCTGGTAGGCCAGCTACTAAGATGAAGAAATCCACTACAGAGAATACAGGAACACACAAGGTTTCTAAGGCTGGAAAGAAAATCAGATGTAGTATTTGCAAGGAGATAGGTCACAACAAGGCCACTTCTCCACAGAGAAGGCCCCAAAAGTTAAATGTGAAGAAACAGAAGAAACAAAAAGTTTGTGTGAAGAAAAATGCAGGACAGGTAAAACCATTTAAAATTTAAATTTATTTACATATGATTTGTCACTAACATAATTATATCATGCCATATAGGGTAGTACAAGTGAACCACAACAACATGAAGAGGTTGAAATGACTCCAATTGAGATGGATACTACTCAAAATGATATGCAAGTTACTCCTATTGATGTTGAATCCAGTAGTACATGGGATTTTAGTCAGTCTATGCAATTTACTCCACCTAGAAGTTATGAAGGTGATAAGGGTGTTGTTGGTGAGGAAGCTGTTATGGGTGAGGAAGCTGAGGAGGGTGAGGAAGCTGTTTAAGATGATGAGGTTAATCCTATTGCCCAAGTTGATAATGTTCAAATTCAGGAGGTTGTTCTTGTTACCCAGGTTCAGCAGGTAAGGGTTAGGCCAATTTTAGATATTTTGAAGATGATAAGGAGAAGAAAGTCAGACAGAATATTGAAGCTGAAATTAGGCAAAACAATTGGTGGTGTTGATGATCCAGGAAATTCTAAGGGGAAAGCTCTTGTAATTGATTAGTGTTGATTGTAATTTGGATTTAAAGTTTATGTATTAGGATGATGGTAATTTGTTTTAAAGTTTATATATAAGGATGATGGTAATTTGGATTTAAAGTTTATGTATTAGAATGATGGTAATTTGAATTTTGTATGGATGGTGCCTTTCAATTTCACTCATGACACAAAAGGGTATTTTCATCATTTATG